TTTTATGCAATTGGCTCATTAAAATTAACTTATAACAGTATTTCAAGCATATTTGCTATATCCTGAGTTTAACAAATTTATCAACTTTGTTAAAAAATGAGCTCCAACATTTATTCTAAAATTGAAAACACTTGCTAAATAATGTGTGGCTTCTCAAATTTGGCAGGTCAAGCTTGTATGCCAATTACTTTTCGGCAGATAAAAAGTGCATGCCAAATTTAATTCACATCCCAGCCAAAACTTTTCGTATTCAGTAATTATATATAGGGCTGTGCGTTGGTTGGTTTGGTTAAAAACCAGACATAAAACCAATCCAACCCATCCAACCAACTTTGGTAAATATTGGAAACCGTTATCGACCCAATTTACATGGGTTGGGTGATGGTTGAAAACCAATTTAATGTGTTGGTTGGTGGTTTGGTTGATGGGTCATCCATCTAAATATTTTTAATTTTTTTTTAATATTTTAATACTTGTTACAACGCTATATCTTTTATAAATTAAATGCGACTAGTTCAATAATATTCAAATAAAAAATTCAAAGCATTAGGGGCATATATATTGCAATTAAACATAAATAGTGCAACAAATAATAATCGTCCAAATATTTAGACTATATGTCTTAAAATTAAAATAGTTCAAATTAGATAATTAGGTTAGATTTATTGCTTTTAGGATTTTGGTCAATATTAAACAATTTAATAAATGTGATATAAAATAGAAATTTGAAATTAAAAATATTAAATAGTTTAATTAAAATTAATAAATAATAAATTAATGAATAAAGTTGGTTGGCCGATATTAACCGACTAACCAACTTTTTAGCATATTAGAAACCATTATCGACCCAACTATACATGGGTTGGTTGACATTATCGACCCAACTTAAATGGGTCGGTTTATGGTTGATTAACCATCACAAATTGTGGGTCGAAAATGGGTTGGTTGGTGGTTAAAACCAATCCATGCACAGCCCTAATTATATAGGTTAAAGATATAAAATATATTAATTGTTTAGTTTTATAAATAATATATTATTGGAGTGAGTTATTGTGTTAAAGATAATGTGATAAAATATTAACAAGAGTGGATTGTAAAAAGTGGTATGTAAAAATTAAAATTATAACATCTGTTGGAGATGCTCTAAAGACATTTAAGAGCTTTTAAGCTTTTTAAATTGATATTTTTTTTTAAAAAGATTCTAGCATTTTTTAAAATAAGCATAAGATTTTTTAGAATAAGTACATATAATCTTTTTATTTAAGAGCTTAATTATTAAAAATAATTTATAAGTTCATTATCTAAAATACCTTAAAACTTCATTTTAAAAACATAAAAGCTTATAAGCTCTTTCAGCAGCTTATCAAATGTTTGAAATAAGATTAGCCAAACACCTGATTTTGTTTTGATGTTATTTTATTTTATTTAGTCATATAGTTTTATATTATATGGTTGAAGAGTTTTACCCCATTTTCTATATAGAAAATAGAAAATAAATTGTGAGAAGCACAAAATATTTGCATTTTTTATAAGAAAAAAAAAACAAAACAAAACATTGATAACATCAATTGAAAAAAGAAAATCATCAGAGGAACATGATCCACTAGCAATACCACTAATTACTTATCTCCCAAGAAATCTCTATCCAATACAATTCTACCATCGAACCCGTAACTATGTTTCATTGTTATCACAGCATTCAGCTCTGCCTCATTGTAGATGGGCACATCTTTTTCCTGAAGAGCCATAGCGGCGCTTCTAGCTTCACTCCATTTTGACGTGGTTTCTTTGTCTCCGTCAGGCGGAAATTGACCGTGCTTCTTGATGGCTGACATGAACTGATAGAGAATCGTAGGGATATCTTCGTCGGATACCACATCTTCTAGTCGGCGAGCACCTTTAGTTTTTTTCCTGCATGCCATGTGTAATTCTTTCCTTTTCTTTCTTTTATGTTTGTTGTTTATATGATATGAAAATGGGTGATTATGACTGGTGAAATAGGTACATATTTATAGGAGGCTTGGTCCTAGGGGAATTTTTGGGTGATTGGGAGATGTTGAATTTTGGAGGATTTTCGCGTGAGCGAGCAAAAGTTGAAAATATTGGTAGAATTTGGAGAATATTTGTGTGATCGGAAGACTGATAACTTTTGCATGAGGGGGTCGGAAAATTTTGGTAGAATTTAGAGAATATTTGCATGATTATTGGAAGATCTAGAATGTACTAGGCTAATATATTGGTCCATAATTGTTGGGCTTCTGAACATGTCTTTTTAGCACTTGAATTATAATGGTACTCTAATTTAGAGTCAAGTTACGGTTTTCTTTAGGGTTAAATACAAAAATTCCCTATACTGTGAACTTTGTGTCATATACCTCTATATAAGATATAAATACAAAAACTTCTACTGTTATATTTATTTCAAAATTTGATGAAAATACCCCTGCTAAGCCTATAAATATAAGGGTTTGTTTGGGCCATTTTTCACTATATTTTTTAACATTTTCGGTCAACTTACTTAGGAAATTTTGATATTTTTATTTTTTTTCTCCAGAACATTTAATTACTTAGGATTTTTTTTTTCCAGAATAAAACCTTTTATTTTTGTCATTTTGAATGTCTTCTGGTAGTTCAAATTCTCAACAATCATAGGATTGTAAAGATGTTTGTATTCTTAGGATGTTTGAACTACCGGAAGACATTTAAGAAAAAAAATTGAAGAAACTCAAAATGACAAAGATAAAAGGTTTTATTCAGAAAATTAAAAAAATCTAACCAATTAGATGTTTTGGAGAAAAAAAATATAAGGATAATTTGGCTCGATATTACTTTACCCCTTGTACTCTCAATTGCATCGATTTGCCCCCCTTGTACTTTTGGCTCGATATCGTTTATCCGCTTCTACTCTCATGACATCGATTTTGCCCCATGTACTTGAAAATTGTCTCAAGGTGGCCATCGCCATTAGTATTCAGACTTTTGACCTTAACCTCGTTTGATCCAAGTCTAAAATTTACAAAAAAAGCATTCGATCTTCATGTGGCCCTCGGCG